CGAGATATCACTTGACACCTGTTTGAATGGCTGAAATAAAAAAAGACAAGAAATGATAAGAATTGGCAAGGAGGAAAAGGAACCTTGGTATGCTGTTGGTGGGAATGCAAACTGGTGCAGCCACTGTGGAAAACAGTATGGAGGTTCCTCAAAAAATTAAAAACAGAAATACCACATTATCCAAAAAATCTACTACTAAGTATTTACCCAAGGGAAACGAAAACACTAATTCCAAAAGATATTAGTGCTCCTATGTTTATCGCAGCATTATTTACAATAACCAAGATATGGAAGCAACCTAAGCATCCATCAGTGGGTGGATGGATAAGGAAGATGTTGTATGTATATAAACAATGGAATATTATGCTTCCATAAAAAGGTTGAGATCATGCCATTTGAGACAACACGGATGGATCTAGAGGGTATTATGGTAAGTGAAATAAGGCAGACTGAGAAAGAAAAAAACCCATATGATTTCACTCAGTAGTGAAACCTAAAAACAAACGAATAAACAAACAAAAAGCAGAATCAGACCTCTAAACACAGAGAACAAGCTGATGATTGGCAGAGGGAAGGGGGTGGGGGGTTGGTGAGGTGGGGGAAGGGGAGTGAGAGATCCAGGCTTCCACTTATGGAACGGATAAGTCATGGGAAAGCATAGGGAATACAGTCGTGATACCGTAATGGTGATGTATGGCGACAGATGGTGGCTGCACTCGCAGTGAACACAGCATAATGTATAGACTTGTCACATCACTGTGTTGTACACCTGAAACTGGTCTAACATGATGTGCCAACTATACTAAAAAAAAAAAAGTGACTCATCAGCCATAAAGTGATTCATCAGGCACCTCTGATTTCTATGATGCTAAGACCACAGTCAGCCGGAAGATAAAATTTCTGCCTCTAATGTCTTAGGGTCTTAGGAATGAAAGCCACATGCTACAGAGGAGAGAACACTCAAAACAGGGGGCCTTCGAACGGTTCCTGCCACAGGATGCAGGCAGAGGCGTTGTGGTGGGCTCCTGGGTAACAAAAGGTTTAAAAACAAAAGCAGGCACGTAAGGTCATGAATTGGCCCCAAATAACTTGGGACACTGAGCACACGGGTGCAAGCAGCACATCTTGATGGAAAAGAGGGCAAGTCTGCCCTCACCTGGCACCCCACCTCCTGCTTCAGGAGAGCCTCAGCTCGAAGAGGAATTCATCAGCATTAGCAGGTTTTGGGTTTCCGCTCATCGTTAGTGTATTGCTTTCATTCCTAAGACCCACAAAAATTGGAAACCACTCCAACTTACCAGGAGCACACTTTGGAATGCAGATCTGGAAGCTATTTTTTTCTGCAGACACTCATGACTCTGGTTTTCACAACAGCAGGCATTGGAGGCTCTGCCAAGCTGCTAGAGAAGGGCATCTTATCTGCAAAGTCACGAATCCAAGTATCCAAATAAGCTACCATTGGCAAGGGTGGAAGGAAGTTGTTTGTCTTAGCTTCTTGGGGGATTGGAAGATTGGGAAGCTTTGGGGGCTGCAGGTACCTTGTTGTACTTTGATACCAACCCAGGGGACAGGCAGCTTCTCAGAACTACCAGTAGAGGCAGTGTCTTAGTAAAGGCCATTTTGGTTGCAAACAACAGAAAGTCAAACCAGTGGAAGCGAAAAAGGGGCATGTATGGGGAAGAAAAAGCCAGTTCCTGACTATCCTGGCTCTTCAACTTTGCTTGTCCTTTGATTCTTTAAGCTTTCTCATTTCCTTTCAATAAACTCCCTTTCTGCTGAAGTGGGACACAGGGGCTTTCTGTTATTTGCAACCGAAGAATCTTGAGCGATACAAAGGGTCCTAGTGGAACCCAAGGGCGGGCACTGAAACTGGCCTTCCCAAAGAAAGAAACTAAGAACAAGAAAGTCTTCAGGAATCAAGGTAACTAATCTGTGTCACTTGGAATGCCTTCTGCTTCAAATAACAGAAAACTGACTGTGGGTAGTTTGTAAAAATTTGGAGTCCTTCCCAAAATGACTCTGGCCATGTGATTTGCTTTGTTTGATGGGATATTAACAAACACAGGCAGAAAGATTTGGTAAGTATTTGTGCTTTGGGGCTTGTTCTTTCCTGCTGCTCTTGGGAACCTGGGCCCACCACCCTGTGAAAGAGCTTGGTCTAACCTGCTCCTTGATGAGAAACCATGCCTTGCAGAGACAACTGTCCCAGCTGAGGCCTCTCTAGACCAGGATTTCTCATTCTTGGTACTACTGACATTTTGGATCACATATGTTTTTGTTGTGGGGAGCCTGTTCTGTGCACTCTAGTATCCTTGGCCTCTACCCACTAGATGATTGTAGCACCCCACCCCCCAAGTTGTGACAGCCAAAACTGTGGCCAGACATTGCCATGTGTCTCCTGGGAGGCAAAATTGTCCCTGGTGGAGAACCACTGCCTTGACCCAACTTGCCTACCAATGACTGGGCATGTAAATGAGGCCACCTTAAACCATCCAGACCCAGTCAAGCCAGCCCAGACCAGTACAAGTGCCATGGAATCATGGCTTGACCCATGGAATCATGAGAAATAATAAATATTTGTCATTTCCCATCACTGAGTTTTGAATGCTTTGTTCTATAGCACAAACAGGTGCACTTGGCTACGGTGGCTTAAACAGGGATTTTTACACAGTAAGAGGTACAGAGGGAGGCATTTCAGGCATGGTTCAGAGCTCAGGGATGCTGCCAGGCACCTGCCAGGCTTTGGAGGTGGGCTTCCGCCTCTTGCTTGGTGCCTGGTGATCCCCAAGGTGATTGCTCCAGCTCCAAGCCTGAGCTCCAGGCACGAAAAAGGAGACTAGGCAAAGGGATAAAGGGCAAAATACTTTCTCCTAGTGAAGACTTGCCTTCTTCTTCTTCATCTTCTTTTTTTTTTTTTTTTAAGATTTTACTTATTCATTTATTTGAGAGAGAGAGAGAAAGAGAGAGAGAGATTGAGAGTGCGAGTGGGGGGAAGAGCAGGGGGAAGGAGAGGGAGGGGGAAAGAACCCAAGCCGACTCTGTGCCGGGCACCGTCCCGATCTCAGAACTCTTGAGATCATGACCTGAGCTGAAACCAAGAGTGGAACACTTAATGCACTGAGCCACCCAGACGCTCCAAGACTTGCTTTCTATTACAGAAGGTAAGCTCTCCCCGGGGCCTTCGCTTACACGTCATCGGCCGAAACTGAAAAACATGGCCACAGCTCTAGCTGCAGGAGAGGCGGGGCAATCAAGGCGTCTGGGCGCCAGCCCATACAGTAGAGGAAGGTGATGACTAAGGGGCTTGCAGTATCTGCTGCACTGTCTCTCTGGGAGTCCTCGTCTCTTGTCTTTCTTTTTGGGTATCTACCCCACCCTCTCTTTCTGAAGACTGGCTTTTGATTCTCCAAGCACACATGGGGAAATGGCCACCCCAGCCCTGGAACCGCATCAAGACTCTCATCAAGGACCTGGGTGGCATCCCAGTGGCCAGCTTTCAAATGCCAAGGGCAAAGACGCTGATTAGCCCAGACTGAGTTAGAAGAGGAAGCTGATTGGTCTGGTTAGGGTCGGGTATGTACAACTCAGCCAATCAGGTTTGGCCAAGAGAGCAGCATGAGGTAGGGCAAACTTGATTGGTGAAAGTGGTGGTGGTGCATTCTCAGGGAAAAGAGGGCGTGGCTGAGGAGACCCTGTCAAAATGATATACCTAGTTCGAGGAGCGGAGAGAAGAAATTGCCATCATGGGTTATAAGGTTGATAGGATAAAAATTGACACGTCCTTGGAAGATGTAAAATACAGTGGAGTCACACGGGCATTGTATTTGACTTTTGCAATTGCAAATATACATGTTCGATCAACAAAAAACATCTTTTTGCACACGATTTGGCTTCCAAACACGAGCCAGCTACCTGAACGGCTGCCTAACTAAGTGATCTTTTCTGGTGCTGGAGAAAAACTTGCTGTTTTGGACTTTGGGGATATGGTACAGTATTGGTAATACCATGATGTTCTTTATGGATATTTTCCAGGGTTTTCAAGAGTGTTTTTAAGGTCAGGTAATGCGCACTTTTCTCACTGATTAGATCCTAGCCCTGTGTAAAATGTACCTTCAATGGAATATCACACCAAGAACTTTTCCTATTTCCTTCTAGTTTTAAAGATTTTTTTCCTTTTAAATTTACTTATTTGACAGAGAGAGACACAGTGAGAGAGAGAACACAAGCAGGGGGAGTGGGAGAGGGAGAAACAGATTACCCGCTGAGCAGGGAGCCCAATGCGGCGCCCTGGTGATCCCCAGGACCCTGGGATCATGACCTGAGCCGCAGGCAGACCCTTAACGACTGAGCCACCCAGGCGCCCCTCCTTCTAGTTTTAATCAGTATAAAGAATCCATTTGGTTTTAAGATAGCAAAATATTTTTATTGTGGCTTTTTAAAAATAAAAAAGAAACGATATTCATGACTTCTGGCTCTTCCTCCCATTTTGTTTGGCGGTCCTGGCCACACCAGAAAGGCAAGGGGACCGATGGACGGGGAGAGGGCAGGACCCAGGAGCAAGAATGAGGGTCTCTACAAACACGGTGATAAAGGGGTGTGTCCACCTGGGCAGCGTGTGCTCTTCCGGGACCGGGTACTAGGGTCTGTCCTGCTCAGGAGGCTGGCGCCTGAACCCCTCATGCAGCCGAATGGGCAGGATGGGATGGGAGTCAGAAACTGGGTTCCGGACCCAACTTTTGAATTTAGTGATTCATGATTTTAGACAGGCAATTTAACCTCTCTGGGCCTTATCTTCTTCATCTGTAAAATGGGGATCAGAATACTATTTACTTCCCAGGGTTTGGGGGAGGATTAGGTGAGAAGCATTTTGAAAATTGCAGAGTGCCACATAAACGTCAGTCATTATGATGGAAGCAATAAGATGACTAGGCATGCTAAATTTATTATAATAAACTTAGATATAAATGTGCTCTACCATGGCCTCAGCCTTGGCCCGAGGCTGCCCTTCTGTCCTGTGGCCCCAGTATACATCTTCGGTTTTGCCAGTGGTGGGTTTCTTGCAGTTCCACGGAGGTGGATGTGTGGGTACGTCACAACTCAGATGTGGCGCCACATAATTGTATCCCCCAAGCCTAGGAGCCTGGGCTTGAAACTTACATTCTCCGTATGTGTACATCTGTAAGTAATTCTAAAAAGAACGTCTATTCCTGCATGCTCCATAATACAGCATTGTGCAAACACCAGTCTAGGCAGCAACATACTAGGGTAACAACCTTTAAAGTCCTATAAAAGTGTCTTAGTATTTTGACACAGAAGAGTCACCCACGTGACTCACGGAGGATCACGCAAGGCCCGATGGGATGACATTTCTAGTTCCTGTCACCAGGCTTAGAAAACAGAAGGCTCTGGCTGGATTGGCTGGATGTGTCTTTCTTCAGCGTCTCCCTCTCTTGGTCCATCTTTGGGGCGGCTTTTCTGGATCCAACCTTCAATGAACAAGAAAAAACAAACGCACAAACTCTATAATTGTGGCAAGATCCCAAAATGTTCCACTCAAATGATTTTTTTTTTTACTCAAAATAAAATGTTTGCTGTAAAAAAATTATATATTTATAATTATAGAGAGAGAGGAGAAGGGAGGGAGAGAGAGAGAGAGAGAGGGATGCGTATTTTAGCTTTAGAAGCTAAAATGATCCACAATTATCCCACTACCCAAAGGTAAGCATTATGACTGTTGTGGTGTACATGCTTCCAGATACACAAATAACAGTTTCCCTTTTTACATTTTTGTGCTTTTGAAACTCGGAGCTTCTTATGCTGGGCATATTCATTGTGATGGAGTTTCTTTCTCCTCGAAAGCTCTTACTGAGCTGTGTGTGTCTTCCGTCTAGGGTCTAGGCCTTTTCCGAGCACCGCCCCTCCGTCTCCCAGCCGCCCCGAGTGTGACGCTATCCCTGGTCACAGTTGATTGGATACTTGGCACGGGCTGTGCTTTGCATATGATCACGCCCAGGATTTGGGGTTATGGGCTCTGAGATGCTACTCGCTCCCTGGGCTGGTCCTTTAAACGGCGGGGTGGTGAGGTCATCTCTTGCAGTGGGATAACTGGAGAGAGAAGAGATGAGCCGGTACAGGGAGACCCAGAGAAGGAATACGGTATATGAGCGTGTGTGTGTGTGTGTGTGTGTGTGTGTGTGTGTGTGTGTGTGTGTGTCAGGGAGCTGATGCCCGGGACCTGGGACTTACCAGTTCTCTTTAGAGGCGGGAGCCTCTTTCAGCCCTTCGTTCTCATGACACGTGGATTCCTGTACCCCCTATAAACACACCCCTCCCTGTTTCTGAGCAGGTTTCCCTTAGTTGCAACCCAAGCATCTCCCTCTCACACTCTTCTGCACATACATGGGATCATAATTTGCATGTTTCTTTCCAACAGGCTCCAAATCCAGCCCTACTTCCTGCAAGTGTTTGACTCCAGTCACAAGGTCACATACTCCTGGGGGTGGGGTGGGAGGGTTGGAGAGGGCTGGTGGGTCGTCAGGTTTGACCTTGGCCACTTACTGCATGACTCTCGGTTTCCTCATCTGTCAAATGGGACCAGAATACCCATCCTGGCTTCCTCAGGGGCCAGGAGAAGATTCTGGGTGGATTTTATTTTATTTTATTTAAGATTTTATTTATTTGTCAGAATGGGAGAGAGAGGGAATACAAGCAGGGGGAGCGGCAGGCAGAGGGAGAAGCAGGCTCCCTACTGACCAAGGAGCCCGATGTGGGACTCGATTCCAGGACCCTGGGATCATGACCTGAAGCCAAGGCAGACGCTTAACGGACTGAGCCTCCCAGGCGCCCCTCTGGGTGGATTTTAAAGGAAGGGACTTCTAGGACCACCTCTTGAGCTCTTTTCACTTAGGAGGTCTGTGCCAGTGGCTGACAGGGGGTCTTGAAGGTGATTTGAGACTGCATCCAAAATCATTTCAGGGTGAGAAGGGCTAGCTTCTCTACACAAGCCTACCAAGTAAATCTGGGTCGGAATGCCCAGTGAAAATGAAAACAGACAGCAAATGTCAAAAAAGCCTCCCCCAAACCGCTTTCCCTTTATATCCCTTTTTATTTGATTTTCCATAAAATTGCTGGCTGTGGGTGGTTCCCAAATTCCAGTGCCCTGACCTGTTGTGAAGTCGGCCATCAGGGTCGGAGCCAGGGAGTTGGTTAAAAATAAAGGGTGCCTGGTCCCGGCATCTCTATGTCATTACAGAGAGAGAGGAGGAGGGAGGGAGAGAGAGGCCGACCCCTAGGTCGGCCAGGAGCTTGGGGTAGCAAGCGCCTCAGAGCGAGCAAGCTTTGCTCCACTTTTGGAGTGACAAGGTTGGGGAAAGCAGAAGGCAGAGGGATGACCGGGGAAGAGAAGGACACTGGAGCGGTTTGGGGGAAGGGCTGGGAAGTCTTCCAGCACCCTTCCTGAACAGGGACCGCAGGTGAGCACCATGCCTTAGGCTTCTGTGTCTGGGAACCACACGCCTCACCCTTGAAATGAAAGGTCGGGGATAGGGGCGCCTGGGTGGCTCAGTTGGTTAAGCATCTGCCTTTGGCTCAGGTCATGATCCCAGGGTCCTGGGACCCAGTCCTGCATCGGGTTCCCTGCTCAGGAGGGAGTCTGCTTCTCCCTCTGCCTCTGCCCCTCCCCCCCACTCGTGTGCTCTCTCTCTCTCTCTCTCTCTCTCTCTCTCAAACAAATAAAAACTTAAAAAAAAAAAAAAAAGAAAGGTCAGGGATAGAAGCTGGGCCATTAAATGGCGACACCCAGGGGGAAATGAACTCAGGACACACTGGAGTGGCTGCTTGAGGGGACTGCAAGCTCCAGAAAGTCCCCTTCCATTCCCACCCAGTCTCAGGGCTGTTTACGTCACTCCTCCTGGGGAGGCCTCTCCCGGCCCTCGGACTGAGTGAGTCCTTGTGAAATCTGCTCCTGAACTCAGGCAACTGACCTTTGTTCCCAAAGCATTGTGTACAAGGTAATTATTGAACCATCACTGTATTTACTGAAAAAAAAAAAAAGTCCAAGAACGGAAGCTAGAAAGGCAGGGGATTTCGTGTGTCTCTCCTTTGATTTAAGCCTGTGTTGCTCCCCCTTGTTCTCATTATTGTCCTGCACTAAGGAGCCTCCTCAGACTCCCATTTCTTAGTTGCTCCCACCCCCATGAAATTTTAATATGACAGATATGTGTGTGCTTTAGACATTACAAAAATAATTTTCGCCCTCTCAGGGGTGGTCCTGCCCCCACTGAGGATTCCTGATTGAACCCCAACGCCTGGACAGTACCTGCGATGTTGTAGGTTCTCAGTAACTATTCCTGGAATGAATGAGGGCTGCTAGGACAATACCTTTTTGTCCACCCCTCCATCCCCCCTGCGGAGGGCGGCCTGTGGCCTAGACTAGGTCGCCAATAAATACTTGTTAACTAGAAGATGTTCCCCCTTAGCATACAACTCCCAAACAACTATAAATGCCTTTTAGCTGCAATAGAAATCAATATACAATCACTGAATGGCATTAGGAAGGACAGAAAACAAAAACCCAGAGGCCCTCAAAGAGGGAGGAGGCACCATTTCTGAGGCTTGCTAGGGATGGAGACTCTTTATGAGAAGGCAAGAATGAAGAGCAGATTTTACATGTCCTGTTTTTTTTCACGGTGCTCACGGCGACTCCTTCCCTCTAAGGACTCAAGGCACACTGTAGAGAAAGGGGACGCCCAAGCCGCACTTCGTAAGGACCATGAAGACCTTTCTGTACCGAGGAGATCCTAGACACCAAACCTCTAAGCTTGGGCTCGGGGTTTGGGAGAATGGCAAGCTCACGCTTTGCTCTTAGCCGGAGCACCATCTGCCACATTCTGTGATGCCCAGAGGCGGCCTGAAATTCCGGGGAGCTCCACAGCTCAGAGAAGCACAAGGTGCCTACAACATCTAGGGCCCATCCTGGCATCTCCTCTGTTATCTCACATTCCCAGGTGGTCCTCAGACAAGCCCTCCCTGCAGGGCGGTTCCTGCCTGCTCCTGGCTCAACCCTGTATGTGGGTGAATAAGTGACAAACCTCCCACTCATTCCCACTTGGCAGGCTGGCGAAGGTCTCAGAGGACACTCTTTCCTCTTCACATCCTGCTCTGGGTAGTAACCACCTTCCAGAATTAGAAAAAGGGTGTGGGTTGAGAAGAAGCTTCTGTTTTCCCAACATGTCCCTTACCTAGAATATCTTCGTTTTTTTTAATGATAATTTTGTTGCCTCGGAATTATTGTGGCCTTTTATCAAACTCGAATATGGCTCCTGTTTCCCATTTCACTGCAACGCGTTTAGCTTTCAAGCTTCCTGAGAGCTCACCTCTACTTTCTGCAAAGTGGGAATGTGGTTGGGTCAATTCCAGTTCTAGGGCTGAATTGTGAATGGCAGTGTTTCAACATGTTTAAAATTTCGGAGTCTTGATTCCCAACTCTTAAAAAAGAGTGTTCTAGAGGATGCTTCCTTGTAATTCAAGAGAAAACGCATGCGAAATGTATCAGGTTTAGTATCTGGAGGTTGGTTACCTAAAGGAGGGGAGAGGCAGGGCTCACCTGGGTGGGTGTCCAGATCTGCAACGGGTTCCAGCTCCCTTATTTAGCTGTACGGCTCTAGACAAATAACGTAAAGTCTCTGAACTTCAGACACCTCCTCTGCTAATGGAGGATTAAAACAATACGTACCCCTAGTGTTGTTGTGAAGACTGAATGAGATATAATGCCTGTCGAGTGCATAGCTCTGTGCCTGGCACGTACTAAATGCTCAGTACATAACAGAGGGGGTATTATTGTCAACCTGGGTTTCCTGCTGACGTCCTACTGTTTTCTTTCTCCTTCTAGCTCACCTGGGGACTTGAATTCTGCATCTTGTTCTTCACCGTCTCTACAAACATTCGCCTCTTGAATACAGAAGGAATATTGACAACATTTAGCTTATGTTCTTCTTTCCCTTTTGCATCAGAGAAAAGTGTTTTTATTTTTTTTTCTCCCTCCACTTTCAGATGTTACCCATTTGGATGAAATGTTGGGCTTTCCTAGGGATGGGGGGGCGCGGTGAGGATGTGCTTCTGCAGAAGGGGGCCTGGTTTTCAGGTGCTGCTCTACTGTCCTGCTGAGCTCCTTAGGGATCTCTGCTCCGGATTCCAGAGGAATCTGAGAGGAGGAGCCTTGTCAAGCAAGGGTCCCTGGAGGATTATTGCAGTCCTCTTGGGGGACAAATCAGCTTTGGGTGGAAGCAGAGCCTCCCAGATCAATGGAAGAAGATGAAGACGCGGGTTTCTACCCAGCATCCCAACGCCTGGGGAATGATGAAGCCACAAGTGGCTGGCTTCCCTGTCAGGGACGGCGGGCACCTGCTTGGGAGCCAGCATCATGGCAAATCTGGAGCTTGCCCTTCCCCTGGGGGTTGATGACTGTTGCTGATCCTGGTCTCCTCGA